GCCTCGCCGTCTCGAGATGGTAGTGGACGGCGTTTAGGTTTGAGTGAAGTCCCCTGATATTGCAGAAATTCACGGACAGCGTGGCAGGGGTCGCCTTGGTCTTGTTGCTCCGTTTGCCCCGAGCAGTTTTAGTCTTGAGCGGAATATTGCCCCCCCCCCCCAGAATACGCGGGGCAGCCTGAGCACCCACGCTCAGAAGTGGAGAAACATGGTCGTGGATGCTCAGCGAGGGATTCTCCAGGGGTGCTGGCACCCTCCTGGGGTAGTCTATCATTTAATTCCGCTACCATGTTGATGGGGGGGGGGGGGGATTTGGGCCTCCGGCCACCTGCACTCACCAGACGAAACGCGGAAGCAGAGCTTCCACTTCACGCCGGTATTCTGTGAGGTCGTGGTACCACCCCGATTTGAGCCGGCCCATACGTGCGACAGCAAAGCTGCCGCGTGGCTCTACCACTGTTAAAATTGTTTAAAATTGGTTAAAATTGTTGTAATTGTACTATAACCTCAATGACTTCCGAATATTATCGGCAGCTATCGATTGCGCAGGTGCTATAAGTTTACACATTAACGGAGGCACATTCCTCTTCCGGACCCATATCCGATATATAGTAATGTAATAAAATCCGATAGGCTCGGAAGCAGTCAGAGACATGAGAACAATCACAACAACGCAAACATACTCGAAACGGAACAATTTGTGTTTTGACGAAAATAAGTTGTGAGTACCAGCATTCCAGAAAAATTAAGAGAACGAAATATAGATAGTAGTCTAAAGGCCGAATTACACTTCGTCAAGTATAGTAACGAACTAACTTGCGAACCTGAAGAGTTAAGTAAAAAAATCTCGTTTGAACTTAAAGTTAGTAAGTAGCAAATCAAAAATTAAGTTGACGGGGTAGCCGGCCGATTTTTTTTTCGGCGAGTCAAGTTCAAAGTGTTGTCCTTCTGCTCTTTTCCCGCCACCCGCAACTAAACTCGCCGCTCGTGTGAACGAGCGAGTTTAGTTCAGTGCATAAGTTGACAGAACGAAACGTATTTGAGTTCGGCCCCCAAAAATATAAAATTGTACTTTTTAACTAAACTCACCACGAAGATATTTGGACGCTACTGCCCACTTAACCGTTTACTGTCAACTGACCTGTAACTAAAATGTACTTGTGGAAGTGTAAATCAACCCTAAGAGCATTATGTGGCTAATGTAGAGCGACAGCACAACCGAGTAAAAGAATTTTTTCAGTCGCTTTTGCTATCTGGTCGCGAATTATCTAATGATTTCAAAAGGAAAGATAGGCCCATCTAAATATTTTACTCATAACTTTTTCATACAAGAAAAAGTAGCGCATCTGTCATAATACAAACGTCATATCAAAACACGACGTAACCAGGGTCGGATTTCGTAGTATAATTATCCTAATTGTACCATTATTTCATAATTTGTAGTACATAGTATCGTAATAATAGAAAGTAAAAATACCATAATTTTACGTAAAGATCGAAATATATTATTATTGGGTCCTTTCACATTTTAATATTAACCCTACGGTATCGAAAATTTTTGTATTGTACATGAGTACCGATAAAATTAGAATTAGCTCCCTTTCTGGTCAATCGATACTAGATCGATGCATTTATGTTGCATTCTTAATACAACTATAACGAGGAGCTACCACGATAAAAACTATGCTCCAGAAGCAATCGGTTTGAAAACAGAATTTCAAATTATTTTATGAATTAGATTTTTAGATTCAATTAAGCAGATATGATTTCTTTTGTACTCTTTTCGTTTTACCCTTATTGAATATAAAATGTATAAGGTACCAATATTCAAAATTTAACTTTCACAAGTTCTTTAGACAAAAAATTATACAGAAATAAAAATAAAGCCGTCAAAAATAGATAAATTAGACGCGTGACGCCAAAATCCCGGCACATGGGAAAAAAGAAACATGAAACGTCAAACGTGATATAATTTTTTTTAAATAGTAAGTATAATTTTAATTTCCATGTACAATATTTCTAAGGGTCTGAATCCAACCCTGGCCTAATCTTAGTAACGTAAATAAATATAAAATAAAAATTTAAAAATGCGTTTATATAATAGTTTAATTGTAACAAAATTAATATAAGGTTATTTACCGATGATACGATATCCCATTTTTTTTAATCATTGTATAGTAATTTTTGCATTCTTTTACCACGCAACTAGACGTATTTATGACAGGCAAATCTGTCCTGCGCGCGCACTACTGTCGACCGATTTGCGTTGGCCCTAAACTGTAATTTTAGGGCCAGCGCACTGAGCCGTTTTAGTAGTTCGGTCGGCCCGGTCATTACGCTAGTAATATATAAGTCAATGGAATTATCGCGTTAAATGTATATGTACTCATGTTTTTGATGTTTCGGTAATTGCTTCATTAGCTCGTAAAAGTTGAATAGCTCGTAAAAGTTGACATAGGCTCTGCTTTAGGAAGGATTTGCCTTCGCAGCAATGGACGTCTCATAGGTTTATTGATAGTTGAACGCTTTGACTTAGCAGTCAGCTATAAGAAATTATAGACGTTCCAGGAACTTCTATAATTTCTTTTTAACTCTTACCAACCTAATTGTATCCAATCAATTCACATAAATCCAACGCATTACTTAACCGCTACAATGTGTGTATACTTAACGCTTTAAACATCATTATTACTTTAATATGCTTAACCTCTTTAGCGTATTAGCGCAACAGAAACCTATTCACTGTTTTACCTTGAAACGTCCAGGTTGTAATGTACACGGAAAATAAACGCTGGTTGCGAATGCAGTTCCAACTCTCTATTTTAAATAGTGTAATCTATACCCACGGCAGGTCATCAGCCAACTTAGGAAAAGAAAAAGTTGACGAAGTGGCGGTGTGTATATTTACACGACCATTTCGAGCTGCTTTCGACGCTCCGAAAAAGGGCAATGAAATCTCTTACTTACGCCGCCAACACATAGCGATCATCTAACACTCTAATTAGTTATAACTTAATATAAAATTAATATAATTGATAGAATCAGGCGTTACTTTGCGGAAATCCATTACAATAAAGACACTAATTAATTCACAACCATGCGCTTAAAAATACAATGATGTGTCTCTTACCTGGATTGAAGAGCACCTCCCGCCCTCCCTCAATTGCGTGCACTAATCCCGTCAACACCAATCCCAGCACCACTATTCCTGGCACCATTACTCCCAACACCACTATTCCAGGAAAGACACACCATCGAAGACAATACGACACGTGTTTCGCCTCTACACAAGGCATCTTCAGGTGATGTAGACTCTACGGCGGCTGACCGCTAAGTTCTTAAGTTCTTCAAGTTCTTAGCGGTCAGCCGCCATAGAGTCTACATCACCTGAAGATGCCTTGTGTAGAGGCGAAACACGTGTCGTATTGTCGTCGATGGTGTGTCTTTCCTGGAATAGTGGTGTTGGGAGTAGTGGTGCCGGGAGTAGTGGTGTTGGGAGCAGTGGTGTTGGGAGCAGTGTTGCTGGGATTAGTGGTGACGGGATTAGTGCACGCAATTGACGGAGGGCGGGAGGTGCTCTTCAATCCAGGTAAGAGACACATCACTGTATTTTTAAGCGCATGGTTGTGAATTAATAAGTGTCTTTATTATAAAATTAAGACACGCTGTCATGATCTTTTGTTCCACCAAGCACATAAATGTGAAAAAGGAATTTTGTTCGGTACAAGCTATGTTTGGGGTTGTCGACTTCGCTGATATGATTTGAAATTCAGACCGATGCCAAGTTTCATAGCAGTTCCTTATATTAATTTAAATGAAAATCTGTTACGTTCTAGCAAGCAATAATAGCGAGTAACGTAGTGACATTTAAAACATGCTTAAAGTATAGTTTTTTAACGGTTCTAAATATTTTAAACTACAACCAATTCAATTTGATATAAAAGTTGCAAAGATACATTTAAGGACGTTGTAAATCCTTATATCTATGGTTTAAAGAACAACCATGAAACTTGGCATTGGCACCAGTTCAGAACTCCTCTTATCAGCGAAGCCGATATGAGCAGAGTTTCAAGTTTAAATCTTACCTACAACGGGTTAGACCCACTTCTTACAGTGAACACTTACGTGCTGATGATGTGATATATATACAAGTTCACAATGTAATTTATTTAAGTGGAAATTTTTGTAGTGGAAATTATTGAAAAATAAACCCATAATTCCCTCATGTATTTACTGGTGAACACATAGACAGAATTTAATTGAAATTGCTTTAATTACATTCAAATAAAACTGCTTTTTCCCTTACTGGACAAATCTAAAATTGTAGATTTTGAGGAAACTTTGCGATCTTTTTCTATCGAGCCAAAATGTTGTCAATCGTGTTTTGGCCATCATAATTCACTAAGAACAATCTTTAACTTTCATTTTTTTTTAAAAAGTGAATGCGTAGTTTTAATGACAAAAAAATTGATTTTTTGCGCACCTTTAAAGCGTGAAAAATCTGATTTCGGCGCCCATTTCACTTTAAAGAGATTTTAAGTTAAAGATGCCTCCAAAGCAGATGCTGATACAAATAATCTCAAATGACATTCTTTTAGTTGAATATTCCATCAAGATAGTACATCGCGTAGATCAATGTTTACAAGATAATATACATTTATATATTATTTATAGACGGACGAGATAATACACATTTATATTTATTATTATAGACGGCTCCGGGGCGCAGTAGTTTAGCAATGAGTTGCAGTGCTAAGGGCCACGGGTTCGAATCCCGCACGGAACAAGTATTTGTATGGCCTATAAGTAATTGTTCCAGGTCTGGATGTTTGTCCTTATGAAATTTATGTTTCTAAATTACTCCCACGATATAGGAGAATATCCTAGTGTAGAGGTAACTTTTTTAGATAAAAAATATATATCGATTTTTAAAATACAGGATAGTAAGAAGTAATTCTTTTTGCGACATCACAATAAAACCAAGCAAAATCTGCACTTACCAACGGGATACTCGTCGCCTTGGCCGCCACCGTCTGCCTCGCTCTCTGTCAGCAAGTTGAGCTCGTTTAAAACCTCTTCAGCTTCGTGGTCTACCTCCTCGCCTTGTTACGAGGATCAAAAGCGATAATATTAATATATATACAAATATCACACACCCATTTCAAAAATTCAATATATATATACAATATGTAACGTAATTAACGCACACCCTCAGACACCCCAATTAGTATATTATGTTATAATCATAATACATACACTGAATTTTTAGTTAAACATTTTTATGCACTGATTATTTATCAAATTAGTTATACTAATTCCGGAAGATTGTTGTAGTCACAGTACAAATCCACGAACGCAAAGACTTTAACATGCTTGAAATAAAGTTCATTTTTCATTATTGAGACAGAATTAGCTATAATTAAAAGTCTTATTGCCTTAAGTTACGATTCAGTTTAGTACAGATTTATGTGACTGTAATTTATATATATTTTTGGGATAATACTATATTAAATATATAGTTGAATATATATATATAATATCAAGAATTAACGAAATATTAACAAAATAACAGGAAAACAATATAACGAAAGACAGACTGGTTTGTTTTTATTAAATAATCAAAGAATTCATTTCTACAATATTCCACTAGGTGCGCTTGTGGGCCATAATAGAACAGTTAATCAAAAAACGAAAGCATTAAAACATTGTCAGGAAACACAATTTGCTAATAGGTACATTACCGCGCGCGATATTGTAATTTCCGCAGATAAACGTAATTTCATTTTTTTAATCGAAATATTAATTTAAAAAAATCATATAACTGAATAGACATTTTAAGTACAATAAAAATATTATTTTTATTTTCAACTTACAAAAAGTAGTTTTTTTTTTTCAAGAAAGAATAAGTCCTCTGAAAAATATGCAAACCAAATTGTAAAGGCTATCCTTTACAATTTAGTTCTCGTCAACCGCATGTATTTTACAGCAGACTTGTGAAGTGTGCTGGCACAAGGCCCTGCAAGACCCTCACCGTTGCTCTGCACAAGTAAATTCGTTTCCCAACAGTTAAACTGTGCTTTTACATCAAATAAGAAAAAAAAACACAAGACAACAAGCGTCTTCGACCACTGCGAACATAGGTGAAAGGCTGAGCAGAGACACGAAGAATGACGTCACACCACAAGCGCGCGAAATCTCAAAAAAAGGGTATTCTATCCTCGTCCGTGGATTTACCGTTTTTAAGGTGCTCGAGAGTCATTCTAATCTCGCTCAGATTGACGTCCGGGATATCATCGGGATAGTGTCGGATAAGGCTTGCTCTTGCATCGTTACTCACACTTGCGTCTGGCTCCATCGACAACGTGTACAGCTGCCCATAGAACCTCTCAATCTCACTCAGAATCTCAGATGTCCTGGTAGCGATGCTGCCACATTCGGTCTTCAGCTTCGACACAACCCTCAAAGAGCCAACGCTCTTTCTGGCAGACTTTGGAGTCCTGGTTCCGCTCAATCGCTTCTTCAATACGAGCTGTATTAAAGTTACGTAAGTCCCGCCGCACGCATTTGGAGATCTGTCTGTTCAGTTGCTTATATGATGTCAAATCTGCTGACGACTGCAGCTTCATCTCCCGTCTAACAGCCATGAGATTAAGAGTGTGATCGGAGAGTTTTTATGTTCTTCTGCGATGGCTCTTACAGAACTTAGCTCCGACCGCATGGACAGTTTCCACAAGCTTGTCATTTATAGCGTCCGCTTTATTGGAGTTTTCTAGGCACAGAAAACGATTTTGTAACTCGCTCTGAAAGTTTTCGGGGCTTTAGATTAGAGCACGAGGGGGACGGAGCGTTGACTTCATGAGATGTAACGTGACGTTGAGTTGAAGAAACTCAACGTTTAGGTTCAGTGTGCTTCTCTCCATTCGATGATCGCTGCCAGTTTTCATCCTTGCGATCACTGAGACATACTGAACAGTTGTCGTCCGGTCGTCATAATGAAGTCAATCTCATTTTTTGTCGAACCGTCGGGGCTCGATCAGGTCCACTTTCTGTGGCACCACTTTTGGAATAAAGAGTACATCATAAAGTCTTCTTTCTCCATAAAGTTTGTCAGTCGCTGGTTCCTTGGGTTTTGTTGCCGTATTCCGAATTTCCCTATTTTCAGCTCACCATTCTCACTTGTGCCTAGTTTTGCGTTCAAGTCTCCCATTAACACCATATAATGGGTTTTGGAGGAATGCATGGCTCTAGAGATATCCTCATAAGTTTCCTCCACCTCCTTATCAGGATGCGCCGAGGCTGGTGCGTAAGTTTGTATGACCTTTAGCGAATACTGTTTGGTGATTCTGAGTATAAAGTATGCAACCCTCGTCGACACACTCCCAATCCTAACAACGTTGTTTACGAGAGACTTGTGAAAGACAAACTCGACACCTCCTTGGGACAGAAGGTTGCCCTCACGGTGATAGAACAAGTTGCCGGATTCGAGGATTACCGTGTCCTCCCCCTCTCTACAGACCTCAGATAATCCTATACTATGCCAACGCAACTTATCTATCTCTTCTACCAGCTACAAGATCTTCTCATCAGTCCTCAGGAAACATGCGTTATATGTAGCCAGGTCGAGTCGTCTTGTCTTACGTGGCAGCCGAATCTCCACCGGAAATTCTTAGCACCCCCTGTTCCGCCGTTACCGTGGTCGCACCCGTAGCCGGGAATAACGGGGCCGACGGGGACTGGGGGCCATTCATTTGTATTGATGCTCATAGGGGGTATATTACCATAGTTATCACGCTGGCGTGCGGGTTGACAACCGCAGTTTTTTATTGCTGTTTGCTGTTATCATAAAGATGCTGCTGCCCATTTTCTGCCTCAGTTTTCCTCTGTCGCCTCTTACGACACCCTCAGGAAGATATGGGGTAGAGCGTAGATGCACAGACCGCGGCCCGCGGGCGCCGGTCGAATACTGGTGGCCCGCCGACAGCAAAAATAATACTCTTGTACATTCGAAAAAATATTGCATTATATTCCAGAATAAAACCAAAAAAATATGTTCGAAAAGTAATTTGAATCTCGCGCGCGCGCTCTTAAGTGCGCTTATCGGCCGTGCATGCGTCGGTAGCAGCGGGCGGTAATGTTCGTGCTGAGCTCGGTTAAATTCGTTTTCTCGCGGTACCGCCGCGGCCGGCGGCGCGGCGACGACGGCATCGCGGTGGCGGCTTATCTACGGGTTATATTGTTAGAGCTAGCGAGATAGCAAGTCCCGAATTCCCGATTGCTCGTAGGTAGATCAGTCCAGGTGGTTTTTGAGTGAAGTGTTAGATTTTAACTCGACTAGCCGGTATCATATATTTTGATCCACATTCATCGTAGATTTCCCGTCAAGTGCCGTGTATAATTGTGTTGTGAAATCGTAAGTAAAACTCTGTTATTAATAAGAGTTTCCCTACCTATTTATTCAATTATTTTTGGTAATTTAAAAAAGGATGGGTAATTTAAGTAGGTACTGTAATTGTTTTTAGGTGCTGTGTTAATCCTAGCCAGGATTAGAACGCAACATGGACAAGCCAGGACCTAATAAAAACGTAAGGTTAAAGATGAAAATCGGCAGTTTCAAGAAATTTGGACTGAGAAATACTTTTTTGTATGGTCGCATAACAAAGTCGTTTGTTTAATTTGCAAGAATTCTGTTGCGATTGCAAAGGAATATAATATAAAAAGGCACTATGAAACGCAGCATCCTACTTTTACCAAGTTTACATACTAATTAAGAATGCAAAAAATGTTGTCTTTAAAACGGGAGCTTATTGGTTAGCAAGCTATGTTTACAACACCCATTCAAGAGACAGAAACAGCTACAGAAGTTAGTTATGAAATTTCTCGAATGATAGCAAAGCGAAGTCGCCCCTTCAATGATGGGGATTTTGTAAAAGAATACATAGAAATTGCCGCTAAGAAAATGTTTTCAGAAGCAGCAAAAAAGTTTGAGAAAATTCAATTGAATCGTATGACTATCCAAAGACGAATTATGTCTTTGTCGGGTAATATTGCGGAACAATTAAATGAAAAAACTAAGATCTAGCAATCTAATAATAATAAAATAAAATAGCTATCAAACTAAGATAAGAATTTTTTTCATTAGCACTCGACGAATCCACTGATATTATTTTGAAGTCTTAGAAGAGTTATTAGGAATGTGTTCATTGAAAGGTCAAACCAGAGGACTTGATATGCTCAATGTACTTTTGGATGAGTGTTCAAAAACTGATTTGGACTTATCAAAATTATTGGGAGTTGCCACTGACGGTGCTCCTTCGATGATTGGTGTCAATTCTGGGCTAGTTACTTTGCTGAAAAAGCATCTGCAAGAAAAAAACATAAACGCTGAAGATCTCATGCAGTTTTACTGCATTATACACCAAAAAGCTTTCTGTTCTAAAAAAATTGAATTTCAAAATGTCATGAAAGTGGTAGTTTCGACTGTAAATTTCATAAAATCACGAGCACTCAATCACAAGCAATTCAAACAATTCCTTGATGTCATCGAAAGCGAATATGGAGATTTACTGTATTATACAGAAGTAAGGTGGCTAAGTCGTGGATTGACACTGGAACGATTTCTAAATTTAATAGAAGAAATTGGAATATTTCTGGTGGAAAAGCAAAGGGATGTACCGGAACTTAAAAATCCTGATTTGTTGTGTGATTTGGCTTTTTTAGTTGATATTATAAAATCATTTGAATGTCTTGAACATACGGTTTCAAGGCAAAAATCAACTGATATCCCAGCTCTACGCTCATGTATCATCCTTTCAATGCAAGCTGACACTTTTCAGATCGCAGTTGAATTCTGGAAATTACAATCATTTTCCGAATTATAAGAAAATGGCTGAAAAATTCAACAAAACTGCGATTAATTTCAGTTATGTAGAAAAGCTAGATATTTTGATTCAATCTTTTCAAGACAGATTTTCGGAGTTGTTGGACATATTCAGCAATCATTTTACGATTTCAGTTGAAAATGCGCCAGAGTCAATGCAGTTAGAAATTATCGACATTCAAAACGACCAAGATTTACGCAACAAATTCAACGAAGGAGACTTGCTGAACTTTTACCGCTGCATTGATAAAAATACGTACAAAGAGTTGCGCATGAACGCTCTGAAATGTGTCAGCTTATTTGGTTCTACTTATATATGTGAACAAACCTTTTCATTACTAAATAATAATAAAACAAGAAATCAAAACCGCCTTGCAAATGAAAGTTTGGAAGCAATTTTACGTGTTGCTACAAGTAAATTTGAGCCAAATATAAAAAAGATTGTAAGCACTATGTGTACCACGCTTCAAATTAATAATTTTTTTTTCAATTCGAATACATTATTATCAACTCTTTATTGTCTCTAATCACCTCTACTCAGTCAGTCGTCAGTTCATAATGTGCCCGAGTGGCCCCTAGTAATAAGTCTGTGCATCACTGGGGTAGAGGGTATTCTTGCCCGCCACTACACGGGATTTGTAAAATTTGTTTAGAAGTATATAATATTTTTAATATCCATATTTGAAGTAAATATTAAATTTTTTGATGCAAGAAAGCATTTTTTTTTTTTTTGTTAAGAGGGTCTGTGATATCTGACTCAGCTACTAGATACCATGGGTGTTTTTTGCATAGATTGGGCCAGAATAAAAATTAAATAGCTATATAAGGTAATTCAAGTTAATTATACATGACATCAAATACCTCAGCTCCGCCCAATAACCATAGAATTAAAACTTTAGGAAGAATAAGTACAACAAAAAAATATTGATGTATTGCTACTGTCAACTCATTAATCATAAAAACGTATTAGATATTGTTCAAAATTATGGATTTATATATAATATTATACAATTTTTCTTAATTCTATTTTGGCCATAAAATTCATTTTAATGTAAGTAAATCAATCTAGTATAACTCTTGAAACCTAGTGGAACTCTAGTGCTTTTAAATAAAATAACTTGGTGCTTGTATTTATAAAATAAACTATTCTTACACAGATCCTATGAATAGCTGAAGGATAAGAACATTTTCCCAAAATACAAAAATGGAAAATTAATGAGATATAATTCAGAATTGTATTTAATTCATTGGGCGTGCAATATTAGTAGAAAATTCAATTCATTCAAAAAAAAATCAGAAATTTCAATCGAATATGTAACATATGTTTTTTTTAATGTATAAACCCTTACACCTGTTACATATCTTTACTTCGTACTAGTTTGATTGAAATCTATGATTACCAGTATAATTCAAAGTAAACATTGAGCAGAACCAACAGAAATTTTATTTTTTAATTAAAATTTATTTATTTAATTTAAAATAGCCATACTAATACAAAATATACAACCTAAATGGATTCATATACTCAACAAAGCACCCTTCTTCTCCTTATTGTCATCATTACAGCCTATACATATCCACTGCTGAACATAGGCTTCCCCTAAAGATTATCTCACTTGCCATAATTGCCACAGTTAGTAGGCAGGTTGTCAACCCCGTAAATAGTTTACTGTAGGATGTGGGGCTCTCTCTTAGTAGCGAGATCTGCCACATCATCATCATCATTACAGCCCTTCACAAGTCCACTGCTGAACATAGGCCTCCCCCAAGTAATGCCACAAAGCACGGTCCTGAGCCACCTGCATCCATCGATTTCCTGCATGTCTTACCAGGTCGTCACTCCATCTAGTGGGGGGTCGCCCTACAGTTCGCCTACCGGTACGAGGCTGCCACTCGAAAAGTTTTTCCCCAAAGTTGTCGGTTCTTCGTGATATATGGCCGGCCCATTGCCACTTCAGCTTACTAATCCGTTGGGCTATGTCGGTCACTCTGGTTCTACTGCGGATATCCTCATTTCTAAGTTTTATCGCGCAAAGAAACTCCGAGCATAGCCCTCTCCATAGCTCGCTGAGCGACTTTGAGCATCCTCATACGGCCAGCAGTGAAGTACCACGTCTCGGTTCCGTAGGTCATAGCTGGCAACATGCACTGATTGTACAACTTAGTTTTCAGGTTTTCAGGTATACCTGACGAGAAGATGTGTCGTAATTTCCTGAACTCCTGGTCGAAGTTGGACTTACCTAGTCGGACTATTTGTCCAAGGTAAACGTACTTAGTGCTCCCAATAACTATGGGCATAGGTGTGACATGGACATTAAACATGATCTTCGTTTTGTCTATGTTCATCTTAAGACCTATCCTTGGGAGGCACTATTGAGGTCATTGAGCATAGTGCTTAAGTCCTCCAGCGATTCTGCCATAAGGCCTATATCGTCGGCAAATCGAGGGTGAGTGATGTACTCGCCATTGATGTTAATACCGTATCGTTTCCAGTCCAGTAGCTTGAAAATGTCTTCCAATGCAGCGGTGAAGAATTTCGGGGAAATACCGTCACCCTGTCTTACACCTCTCTGCAGTTGCATAGGTTTCGCACTCTAGTTTACTCTGGTTTGCCGTGTAGTGGCGGTTGAGAATATCCACTACCCCATATCTTTCCGTAGGTGTCGTAAGAGGCGACAAAGACAGAGAGGCGAGAGATCTTCCTTATAACAACAATAATATAATAAAAAAACTGTGGTTGCCAACCCACTCGCCAAGCGTGGCAACTATGGCAAATATCCCCCCATGAGCAATCTGCCACGAATATTAATAAATGTTAACGAAAGAATCATTTCTTTCAAAGATATTTCAACAGAGACATTGATACTTTAACAAAGTATTTTATTATAGAAAAACAATACTTTGTTTCATTAAAAGAAACAATTTATTATTATTTCTATGTATTTTACAGTTACTATAGTCAACCAAATCTAAGAAATACCTTTTGACGTTTAACATTAATCATTCCGCAATGACTTTTCACAAGCATACTCACACGATTTAAAATAACCTTTTACGTAAATTCGAAGAATTATGAAGTTATCTATATTTCATTACAACGTGTATAATTTTTTATCACTAATTTAAATTTGTTTTTTTCAAACAAAGCAAAATACTAAAAAATAACCAGTATTAACTTTTTTTACTTGACATCGTTTCAATGATATGTCGCTATGTATATTACCGTAGTGTTTGGATGATTAAAATTCATTGTTATGCGAATAATCGACAAAATATTCAAATAATCGGTATCGGTAAAAATATTATAATAATCGCATCATTAATTTCTTTAATGTATTATTTGTTTAATTTAATTTTTATTGTCAAAATTCCTTAAATTACATGAACCACGCATTTAAAAAAAGTTTATTTTTTTCACTTTGTCAAAGTAAATTTGTGTGGGCAAAAAATTCATTCAAGGCTACTACTAAAATAACCACTACATAATTTCAACATCCCGCCATTGCGGTACCAGTTACTCGACTCCACAGAATCAGTAATTCATTCTTGAGGCGATATATACACATTTACAACAAAATGCCAGAAAATATACAAAATTTGACGTAAGTACACAAAGTTCAAAAACTTTATTAAACTAAGTTTGTATAAAAATGGGTATTTTAATATTAAGGAATTTACGGATGATAAAAACCACTGGGAAGGGTGATCGCTACCAAGCTATTTCTAATTTGTTTTGTGATAATTAATAAAATTAATTAATAATTTATTAATTTTTAACAATTAATTGTTACACGCATGCTTGTAAGCTCTTATTCTAAAAAAAAATCTAGTCCCGTTGGGTTTCTTGATGATTCTTCCCAGGACAGAGGGTTTTTTTTGCAAACCAGTGGTAAATGAAAAAAGTGACTTTCAATAAGTACTATTCATAATCTATATTGAATAAAAAAGTTTCGGTTTCCGATTCGAGAGCTAACTGCGTAATTTTGTGATTTTGTGTTTTTCTTCTTATTTTGTGATTTGGCATTAACTATTTTGACTGTTTCTTCTATAACAACTTTTTGTAAGTGGTAGAGCCACGCTACAATTTATATTATAGTCGTAGCACGAATGGGTCGTCTCAACCAGGGCAGGACAGGTAATGCTGATGTGTTTCGTATGGTGAGTGTAGAGAACCGGAGACCCTTTTTACCCTTTAGTCCTCAGGGGTGACAACGCATTTGCATATTGATTCTTAAGTGAGGATAAATGTATATCTCTTTGGGCCATAGCATCCACTTACCATCAGTTGGAGTGTATGCTTGTTTGTCACTCAATGCTATAAAAAATATTCGTTGAAGCATGTGCCCATCTCACAAAGGATGATTGGGCAAAAGTGGTAGAAAAAACAAGAAAATTGATTATGGATGACTTTGAAAAAGACATTAATTTTGACTGCATTATTGAAAATTAAATAATAATTAACATAAACAACGACATCCTACTAGTTGTACTGAAAGTGATTGAATAAATTTATTTTTAATCGAGTTTCAATCTTAAATTTTTATAACTGTGTCTCTAGAAATAAGCAGTAACAACAAATATGAAGAAACTGATAAATCTTGTGTTTTAAATTATCCGTTTTTAATTTATTCTGATATTATTCAAACCAAACTGTAAATGATTACCAACTCTAAATAATCAATATCGATTTTTTTAAGAATCGAATATTGTATGTTCCCATCTTTTGGTTGGCATGCTTGGTGCAATAATTCTGACAGCTGTCAAAATGCATTTCTTAGATTTGGTTGAATATAACACACCAATGTGAAAAATCATGCAATACCTTGTTTACCCGATGTATGATGTGGCTTATTAGCATCTAAATCATCGATCTCGTCCATGTCCATTTCCTGGTTAGCCAAGAACTCAAAGTTGGCAAAGACTGCTGCAGTCTCTTGATTTGAAAGTCCCTCTTCATTGTAACCACCTCCAGTAGCGACACCACCTTTGCGTTGCTCCTTACCTCCTGCATGAAATGGAATTATATTAATTTTATTGTCATAAATTTATATTAGTTAATTTAAAAAAACATATTAATGCTTAATACATTTTAAATTAATATAGAACTTAAATTTCTATATAACTTTTAAGTTTAACACTTAGTATTTTAAAGGAACTTTTTTAAATGCCAACATCCTATATATGCACCCTGCTAACGTCCATTAATTACTGAACTAAGGAACTATGGACTAGTGACTCAATCTAACAATAGCTCAGAAAATTATTTTAAGTTATGCTCACAAATTGCTGCATTTTTGTAACAGCTTAATCCAGGAATAGTTGAAGAAGAAGCCTGAAGAATGTTGTATACTGAATCAATTAGGAATCACTATATTACATTGCAGCATCAGGCTGCTGCCTCTCATTCATAATATGGGTAATTAAGTTATATTTGAATTTGCCACCATCTACCAGAAGCTGAGGTACTATCCTGACATTAACTCTGTTACTTTTATACAAAAATAGAAAAATAGGCTTGATTTCTCTTGATATTTAAAAAATTATACTCTACATACCATAGTCATACTTTCGGATCAAGGAGTTGATTGGTGAGTCACCACATCTCTCGCGAAATTTATTATCATAATTTCTGTAATTCGGATCTTCAACCTGTTCCTCATTGTTTAAGCCAAGTAAAGTCCGCACACGATTAGAACGAACATCCAGTATTGTGTCTGTGTAACCTATTTCCTGTAAAATTAAATAATATTTAAATAGGTATTATATCCAGAGAATTTATTATTTCATGATTAATAATTTTAAAAAAACATTACCTGTAGGTACTGTTTGATGAGTTGACGCCCCTGTTTCCACTGAGCCTTTTCCGCAGGCTCAGGTTCCGTGGGCGGCTCCTCGGGTGGAGGGCGTACATCACCTTGCTGTAGTTCTACACCATATTTAAGCTTATGGAACTTAGCGCGTTCCTGTTTCAATGCGTATTCTAACATTTTAATCCGCCTTACAAGATCATTTTTAAGATTTTCTTGACCCTTCCTCTCTCCTTGGAGGAAGGCGATCCGGGCCTGATAAAACGAAAATAAGTCAAATAATAAATTTTTTAGGAGAAAGAAGCCTCACTAGTCGGCAGGTTTAAAGTGCTAAAGACGCATCCTACTTGTATTTACATCATTGTATTATGCTTTTAAGATTTATACTTCTAGAGCTATCTTAAGGGCATTATTGTTTCAGTGCGTTTTAGCATCTAGCTAAACTACAGCCCCTAAGAAATGTGGCTGAAGGGACTGAAGGTTTCCCTTCAGAATGTATAAATATTTAGTGGAACAACAACTATGAGTAGCAAGCATGGGCAAACTTTGAAAGATCTTTTTATAAACACAGAATACCATATTATTGTAAAATAATAAATCTTTTTTTTTTATAGAATAAAGGTGACAAACGAGCACTCAATCCACCTGATGGTAAGTGAATGCTGTGGCCCATAGACATCTAAATTTATCCTACATTGCAGAAGCATTGTTACCCCTGAGGACTGCGAAGTAATGACTTGTTTTCAGTAAAAAGTCTCTGGTTCTCAACACTCACCATACGAAAAAGCAGCATTAAGCTGTTATTTAACGCTGGTATTCTGTGAGAGTGTAGGTCCTTCCCCAGTTGAGCTGCCCCATTCGTTCTACAACCACAATATAGCTGCAGTGGCTTTACCACATACAATCTGCATATTATCTGTTTATGACTACTACTTGCATGTTACATATTGGCTTTTTAAGCTCATATAACAAGAAGTACGAGATAAAATTTTAACACACCTTCCATTATTTTTGGAATTTCGATTGTTAATAGATAAAATGTAGCTTTTATTTTTTGTCAATTTCGTTAATATATATTAAGTTGCAATATCAAAAACAACATAAACTTTGTAAAGACATGTTTCATTCAATGAGTAGAATTTGCAAAAATATAAGAAATCATTATGAAGACAATTATTTTCCTCACAAAACAAGCTTACTATTGCTTACTAATAAGAAAAGCAGATTTCTAGTATATTTAAATTAGTTTCCTGTCACACATGCCCAGCACCAGAGAATGAACATAAATCTGAACTTATAGATACAAAATGATAATTATTAATCTAAAAGTTATTAACTTTGTCACCTGGAAATATAGATAATAGTATATTGTATTTATGTATGTACATAAAAACAATCAGTTTTAATAAATTGATCACATTATGTTAACAAAAGGAAAAACCAAGTTTTTTTCTTTTTTACATTCTTCCCATTACAGAGGATCTTTTGAACCAGTGGTTAAATAAAAAATTATTTTAAGTAAGCATTATTAATTGTACTGTATTAAATAAAATTTTACTTGATAGCAAAATAACTGCACAAAGATACAAAAATAATTAGATAAATTTAATCATAGTGATAATAAGTAGTTTAAAAAACGGTTATAACAAAGGTTGTAAAAAAGTAACAAAAACAAAAGTAACAACAGTAATATAATATATTGTTAATTTTTCCTGCAGCTTGCAGCTTGGGAAGTGGGAGTATAAAATTTATTTCATGCAAAATTTATTATTTGAAACAAATTTTGTGATTTTCTTTTTTGGTACCAAATCAAAATTATTGTGAATACAGGGTTATTTTTCAAATAGTAGCCAAATTTTATACTTAAGTTCAAATATATAAGTAATTATATAGTTTGCACTTTTTGAAAATATGAATAAGGTTTCCACTTTTATTTGAAATTATCCCAAATTGAATTTGATTTATGGGTATGTTTTTGCCTACCAACTAACCCTTACAAAGGCATTATTTTAACTGATTTTACTGTGTCATAAGTTATGACATTACTGTGTGATCAGTTAAAATAATGCATTACCACTCATTTTAAATTTAAAAGATAAAAAGGACATAATGTTTGAGATTGTTTTAATAATTTCTCTTAACCATTTGCCTATGTTACTCATTCTGAACCTTCTCTGAAAATTTGGCCGGTTATTGCAAAATAACTCTGTATATATGATTCAATTTGGTTCATAAATGTTATTTTTGTTAAGTTTTCATGTGGTAGAGTCATGCTGCATCCATATTAGTGGTATAGTTGTAGCACGAATGGGTCAGCTCGAAGGACTAATAAGGACAGATGTAGATATCTATGGGCCACAGCAACCACTTATTCTAGATAGCTGTGAACCATCATCATAAAAAACAAATACTGTGTGAATATGATCTCAATCAGTCAAGTAATTCGGAAGTTTTTTTTTTTTTTGTAGAATAGGGAGACAAACGAGCACACAGTCCACCTGATGGTAAGTGGTTGCTGTGGCCCATAAACATCTACATCTATCCTCCATTAAAAATCAAAATGCAGATGCGTTGTCACCCGTGAGGACTGAGATGGAATGCCTCGTTTCCAGTAAAAAAGTTCTCCGGTTCTCTACACTCACCATACGAAATACAGCAGCATTAAGCTACTATTTCACGCTGGTATTCTGTGAGAGTGTGGTCCTTCCCCGGTCGAGCCGACCCATTCGTGCTACAACTATACTACTAATATAACTGCAGCATGGCTCTGCCATGTAAAGTTACACAATCACCTACACACATACAACAAATATCATATTATAACTATAGATTACAAAGTGAAACCAAAATAAAATTTCAGCCTAATGTCTTAACAGACTACCAATCTCTTCACATCATGGGCTTTATATTGATTAACTACCCTTACAGTACGATTTTCTCCTTTAGTGTTGTTAGATCCAATAAAACACCGTAATTTAGGTAAATACATGTATTGTGCTAGGTAGCAAAACTAATGACAAACTAGTTGACTTAACTAACATTATTTCATAACAATGTTATGCAAGTGCCTACATTCATAACTATTTATCACAATCCATGATATATAACATACCTTTCCCCCAAGCATGTACATACAATATTAATTTTTAACTCAATAATCAACTTCTAATACTTAACATAATCTAATACACTAAATACAGTATACAAATACACAAATATATTTATATTAAAACTGGTAAACTTAAGCTATAAAATTATTACGTCTCTCATATGGTGACTTAGAATGAACATTCATTTTAGGAATAAATGAATGAAATTTTTCCCCCAGAATAAGTTATTTCCGTATTAGTTGGTATACCTAACATTTCCGCCCATTTATCCTGACTAGGTATTTCAATAGTCTCTTCTCTTACATCATTATTGGACTTATCTTTCCCTAAGTTATAGTCAGTTATTTCCTCTGTTAAGTCATTGTCCAATAGTTCACTATTAACTGTGATATCTTGCTCTTTGGACATCTCTTCATCCTCTCTCGCACTCAAGTCAGATTGCCTTTTGCTATTACTTGATCAATATGCCTATTTACTAAAGATCCATCATGCGTAGCAATCTCATAACTAGATGGTCCATTTCTATTTACCACAGTTCCTGGTAACCATCTTGGCCCATAACCATAATTCCGATACATTACATTTTGGCCCGTCTTTGATACCCTGTTAATTTTTTGAGCATTACTAATAATTAGTTGTGTTCTCTATCTTTGCTGGCGATTATCGGGATGTATTGTATCTAGCAAAGTTCGTAGGCTTCTGTTCATTAAAAGTTCTGCTGGACTCTTTTTAGTTGCTATACAAGGTGTAACACGCAAACCTAGTAAAATGTTAGGGAGTTTGATAACCCATGGAACATCATCCATCTTGCATAGTTTGTCCTTAATGGTTTGGACCATCCTTTCAGCCAAACCATTGGTAGCCGGGTGATAAGGTGCTGTAGTGACATGTTTCATTTTATTGACTTCAAGAAATATTTTCATTTCAGAGCTATCACATGTAAGAACCAATGGCTTATTAAGATCGTAATGAACAAGAGTCAACTCTGAAGAAAGTAAAGGATTGTCAGTATCGAAACTATTTTGTTCTTGGTCAGTCCATTGCCACATTTGTGACTTATCAAGTAATCTATGTAGAGATTCAAGTATAGTTGCTTTGTGAGGTATGAACCTCTCATAAAAGTTGTAGAGGTCTAAAAACGCTTTTAACTGTTGTATATTTTTAGGTTTGGAAATTTTAAGAATCAATTCAAACTTGCTCTGAGCTGGATGAATACCATCCGCATCGATTACAAAACCTAAAAATTCTACGCATCTTTTAGCAAATTTACATTTATCTTTATTAAGATGTAATCCTGCTCTTTCAATGCGCTCCAATACTGTTTCAAGACGTTGATTCATTTCTGTCAATGTGCAACCACTGATGATGTCATCAATAAGCACGGCTACACCTGGTACGCCGGCTTGTAGTGCGGTCATCAGGCGTTGAAATATTCCCGGACACGCCTTCACGCCGAATGTCAATCTGTGTACGGCATACAGTCCTTTACATGCATTTAAAGTTAAAAGCTTCGCTGTGGCATCTGTGACCACCACTTGCGTATATGCTGTCTAAATCAAGTGTCGTGTAATAAGAGCCACCTGCAATAACTGCAAAAACTTCACTAGCCGTGGGCATTGGGTATGTATCCGACTCAGTAGCTTGATTCACCGTACTTCGATTGTCTCCGCAAAGTCGTATGTCTCCATTTTTCTTTACTATAGGAACTACTGGTGTCGCCCATTCTGAAAAAGATAAAGGGCGTAGTACCCCCTCCCCCACTAAACGATCGATTCCCTTTTCAATCCTAACTTTTAATGCGAATGGCACTGGTCGAGCTTTTAAAAATTTAGGAACAGTGTTAGGCTTAATTTGTATGTTCACAGGGTTCCCTCTATATGTACCAAGCCCTTCTCTGAAAACTGTATTATATTTATTAAGCACTTTATCAATATCTGTCATATCAATATCAATAACATTAATAGTATTTAAAGTAATATCTAATGCTTTAAACCAGTTTCGACCAATAAGATTTGGGCCCGTGCCCTTCGCTATAACAATATTCAAATTACACTTAATGTCTTTAAATTGCACTTGCACTGTAGCTTGTCCCATTACTTACACATACGTAACTTATTGGGCAGTATATCTAGTATAGTTCTAGAG